TGGCACCATCGGCAACGCCCGAGTGGCACACGCTAAATGCTGCTGAGCGCAGAGGACTGGAGCACGGTTCATTAGGAGGGATAAGGTCGGGCCACACTCATTTCCTCCACGGTCACTTGGGACAGCTGGAAAGGCTGGGGCTCCTCTGGCATTTGGCAAAGGTCAGCCAGCCCCAGCGCTCGCAGGCGAGCGGTGGGTGTGTGTTCCCATCACAGCCTGCTCTGCGCTGGCTCTGCTTCCCTGCTCCCTCCTGCGAGCACCACGGTCAGAGTTGGGATGCTCAGGTGTATCTTTTCCTTCTCTATCTTCTAGGTGAATGTAATGGCTGCAAGCGGGGTCATTTTCCAGCATCCACGCAGTGACAGAGAGTGAGAACGTCGTTAATGAGGGATTCCAGGGAAAGGAAAGGAAATATGGGAATCGGAAAGGAAAAATGGATTTTTCCTAACGGGAACAAGTTGGTGCCTCTGGTCCCTGTAGGTGAAATAAGGGTAACGTGAGATTTCCTGCCCTTTCATCAGGTTACAAGCTAGGCAGGACACGTCTCCTGTGATGGGAGATGCTCACACGAAGCCACCCAAGTCCAGAGTTGGGGTTTCTCCTGCCCCAGCACCCGCAGGAGGACGAACCCTCAAGTCTGGCCTAGGAGAGGCCAGGCTGAAGGAGAAAGCTTAAAAATTTGCTCAAGCTGTTTTTTTCTGAAGGTTTTTTTATGAGTTAGGGGTGAATCATCCGTGCACCTAGGGCTCACCCTACGCATGTGCATCCTCTTGGGACCTGGGCACAGATGTGTCCTAGGGAGCTGATTGTTCTTCCTCTGGGCTTTTCATGGATTTTCTGACTTTTGGCCCTGTCAGCAGGCTGCTTCATAGACCCCACGTGATGGGGGAAAATCCTTCACGCTGGCAAATACTGAGGGACAGGAACAGTGAAGGTAGCATATCCGATTCACTGTCATCTTTTCTCCAGCCCAGACTTGGGCACTGAGCATTTTTATGCCAACAGTTTGGCCAGGGCAAGAGCATCCCTAGAAGTGGGCAGAGCATCTCCCCAGGTGGGTGGTGGGTCATTGATTTCTCAGGAGGTGGGCACAACTCCCTGGAGAGCTGAGAAGCAACCATTTGCTTCAACCCTCTGGTGCCTCAGTTTCCCCTTGGGTTGAAGGGAACTGCTAATCCATCCCAGCCTCCCAGCCATGCCACGAAACTAAATTCACTACCACCCACACAATCTTCTTTGGATACTATGGGGATGGGGCAACGTGAGGACACAGACCAGCTGATTAGCATCAAGATGCAAAACGTCCCTTAGACCCGAGCCTTTGGGCTATCTGGTTTCGTTCCCCACCTCTGGGGTGAGCCAGATATAGAAATGGAGTCATGCGAAGCAGCACAAAGTCTCTATTTCAGAGCTGGGGTTGAGCAAATTAAAATGTAGCGTGTTCAAAAGCCAGCTTCCCTGGATGGCAGACAAAAATAATCCATTTCCTTGAAACAAATACTAAATATTAATGAGATTCGATGGTCTGCCGTGCACACAGAGCTGTAAAGAGCATTTCTCGTTGATCAGCTGTGGAAACAGGTTCGCGAGATGAAATTGCTTTTCGAATGGTTATTTGTGGCCCTTCTCGAGGTGGCTCGGGAAAGAAAGTTTGCCTGCCCAAAAAAAAAAACAAAAAAAGAAAACTCAGAGCATTTCCATTTTGCATCAGGGCAGCCCTGGGGATGAGTTCTGGTGCTTTCATTTTTGTTTACGCACTTGCCCGAGCGGTTGGGGAGATGGCTCGGCTTGGTTATGTAGAAATCAGCCCTGAATTTACGTCGAGAAGGAGGCGATTCCCTGGGAACATCAGCCGTCTGTGCCTGCCCCCGACCAGCGCCGGAACGGGCTGCCAAAGGCAGAACATGGGACCCAAGAGCACTCCCTGGCTTTCCAGCCACATCCGCTCCTCGATTTATTTCAATCACAAGCATTGGGGGAAACATTAAAAAAATTACTTAGAGCTCTCACCAAGTATCCTAAAGTGAAAGCAGAGGGCTAGGAGCTTTGGAAAAGGAATCTTGAATTTTTCTATTGCTTTGACCCTTGGGTAAGTCAGGAAAATTTGTATTAACTCCATTTCCAAACTCAGAGGTTGGAAGAAAAATAAAAATGCTCTTTTCCCTTCCTCACCAGCACACACAGCTGTGGCGTGGGGCTTTTCCCCCCCAATTCTGTGCTTACCTGTGGGCAGCACAGTGTTGGTTGTGGCTGGGAGGGCAAATGACACACAGGGAATGGCTACAGCCCTCCCTGGGAAGCTGCTGGTCACAACCCTGCCATGTCCCACACGCAGCCGTGGAGGATGCTGAAAGCATTTTGCATCCATCACGCAGTAAATAACACGTCGCTTCATGATTTTATAAAACTATTAAGCCAGTTACGTAGCCGTGGGTCGAACGAGAGCTAATATTAGCTAGAAATGACTAAAATTAGAAAATTAGAACCAAGCCAGAACTAATTAGTTTTTCAAGGAATAGAACCAGAACCGGAACAAATTAATTGTTGCTGAAATATCACCACGGGGCCTGGCAGGCGCCGCCGCTTCCAGCCCCACACAGGCTCCCGCTCTGCTTTGCTCGGAATGACTCCCATGCGGGCTGGGGAAGGAGCCCAGGGTCCCATCTGAAGGCTGTGACAGCTAAATAAGAGTTGGCATCTCAATCCCAATCAGGGAGTTCGCAGCAGCGTGATACAGCCAGAGCTGGGAACCATCCAGCTGCTGCCACGAAGGGCTCGGAAATGCGTCCCCTCGCCCCGTCGCTGCCCAGGTGCGCTTTTCTAAAGGTGAGGGTCATCACAAAGCCATCTCAATGGGTGCCAGCAGCACACAGGCTGTCCCCTCTGATCCCAACAGCGCTGCCTTCTCTTCCAGCTTCAGCTCTGCCACCGGCTGAGATGCTTTGCAAAGCTCTCCAAGCGAGCCAGGAGCTGCCATCCATGCAAATGCCACCAGAATAATTTCCAGGGAATTAGGCAGTTGGTACTGATAACTGGCATGTGGTTGCATTTTTCCATCTGTGACTCAGTCACCTCTATGGTCACTTCTTTTTACTTTCCAAAGGTGGTAACTCACCCTATATTTCTTTCTCTTAAAGCTCTCAAACAGCAGCTCCCATTTTAGCAGCAGCATGACGCACGGTGTTTTAAATTCAATTTAGAATACAAACTATTTATACCAGCCAGAAAAAGGCAGTGAAGCAGCTCTTTCTGTCATGAGTGGATTTGTAATTTCAGAGCAATCATTGCATAACTAATTGAATCAGCTCTCAGCATGTGAAATCAGTGCCCTGCTTATCTCAGGTTTTCATCCTTCTCCCCTCCTGAAGCCAACAGTCCCCTTCCACCAGCGGCACTTTGTGCTTTCGCATTAGCCTAGGAAGAAAGCAGGACCTGCAAAGCTGCCTTTCTCTGCTCAGATAAAGCCAATAAATGACCAAGTACATTCAAAGTAGATGAATAGCTGGGTTGCAGGTGCCTCCCGAAAGCTGCCCAGGCTCCATGTGAGGGAGTGAAGTGCATTTGAAGTTAATGAAGTGCCAGCTGTGTCTGAGAAGCAAATTGGTGCTGAGACGTTCTGCTGACTCCCACCTCCCACTTCATTGCCCAGGTGTGCTCTGCTTGGCTTGAATTGAGGGTCTGATCCAAACCCCAGGCTTGGCATCTGAAAATGGAGCTTAAAAGAGGCGATAAACACAGCGACAGCTTTCTGAGGGAAACAGGAAAGGTAGAAAACAGAGTAGCTGTGAGGATTTTCATCAGCTTGGGAGTGAGGGTCTTGGATTTGGTGACTTTGGTGGATCCAGTCCTACACATTTTGGGAGCAGCTCCAGCCACCTGTGTGCAGCAGCCTCCCAGGATCAGAGGGCATCTCCTCAGCTGCCAGGCATTTTGGGCAGGGTCCCATCAGCTTCTGCTGCTCTACAGAACATAGAGCTTAAAATTGCAGCCAGAGAAAAGTGTGCTGGAAAGGATGCTAATGCCTCCCTGGAGATGTTCCCTGCGTGCCTGTGAGTCCTGGGCTGTCACTGACGTGCTGCATGGATTGCGTGGAGACAGCCATGCAGGGATGGGTGAGGAGTGCAGCTGAGCCCGTGGTGGCTGTGATTGCTGAGTGCTAACGAAGGGCAGCTGATTCAGCCTATACAAGTGGAAGCAGTTCTCTAGGCTGATCTGGCAGGTCTTACCTGGGAGGAGGTTGGAGGAGTGCTGGCAGACTTTTCTGGAAGTAAGCTGGGAGGAGTTGTTCCTGCCAGGTATGATCCCTACAGCTGGGTGTAGGAGATGGTAGAGCCCAGAAAATGAGAGCTGGGTGTCTCTGTGGTCTGTCCTTTGCTCAGGGTTTTGTTTTCTTTCCAGGAGAACAATAGGAGGCTCCGTGGCAGGGGCCTGTTGGTTTTGGTGGTCTGAGAACAACCTTAGCAATGCTCCCAGCTTTGTTGGACAAATGTTGTCCAATTCACATATTCCCCAAAACTGGTGTGTAGGGTTTTTTCCATGAGACAGTGCCTCAGTGCTGCTGGTTGGCCTGGTGAACAGGGCAGTGCAAGCACTGGCAGGGGCTGGCATGGGCAGGAAAAGGAACTTTCATCCCTGGGAGAGGAATGGTGAGACACTGGCCCAGGTTGCCCAGAGAAGCTGTGGCTGCTCCTCCCTGGAAGTGTTGAAGGCCAGGTTGGATGAGGCTTTGAGCAACCTGGTCTAGTGGAAGGTGTCCCTGCTGATGGCAGGGGGGTTAGAACTGGATGAGCTTTAAGGTCCCTTCCAACCCAAACTATTCTGTGGGAAGGAGCCTTTATCCCCAGGCTTGGTTTAAGTCATGTCCCATCAGTGGCCTCTGCTTGCTTCTCACACAAAGCCATGCAGACAATGTGTGTCACTGAGGCTGCTGGGCTCGCTCCTGGGGCAGCACCTACCTCATCACCCCCAACTACCTGCTTTGTTTTCTGTCATCTCTCCAGGTAGCCCGATGGGAGCACAAAACACGAGTGCTCAGCCGAGTCTTTGGCTCTCCTCATGCTGCCTGCTACTGCCTGGGCGTTGTTATCCTGATGCTGAACTGTGTGCGGAGCCACTGGTAAGGAGCTAACCCTACTGCTAGGTACTGATGCAAAGAAATACCCCTATGGGGTGGGGGGATGAGGGATATTTACTCTGCAGTGTTGGATCCAGCCCCAGCATGTTGCTTTTACATGGTTGGATACCTTTGCTCAGCAGCAGATTTATTCCAGGATTTGTAATATGAGGGATGCAGCAGCGTGGCCAAAAATCATCAGTGTCAACAACGGTTGAGTGTCACAGGTTGCCTTGCTCTGCTCTCTGGGGTGGTTTCTCCTGCCCTGTGAGCTGCTGCTGTCTGCACAGGGTAGATCATATGTAACAGCAGAATTTTTTTCATTTTCTCATAAAAGTCATAAAATTAAACCTGTTTTTTTTTTTTTTAAGAAGCTGCAGTTTCCTGTGTAGAAGAGCAGGATTATCAGTGCACTTAGCAAGCAATATCTTTAAACTCTTATCTACGATCTCTTTAAATACCACCTGTGCTAGCTAATAGTATTGTAGGACTGATGCACCCTACACCATGGGAATATGTCCTTTGACGTTCTGAGTGCAGCAGAGAGGTTTACTGCAGAAGATTTCCTCAGTGCCAGCAATTTATCTGTGATCTGGTAGGCTTTATCTTCAATGCTGTTAGGAGAGACAGACTCTTTTACTAAATTTCCAAATTCAATTACACCAGGGTCACAGCTAATGGGTTATTTAGTACTTTGGGTAATTTCCCAGGCACAGAGATCTCAAGTTGGAATTTGCACATGTATTTAAGAGTTTTGCCTTCCTGGAAGTGACAGCAAGACCTGCCCTTGCCCTTCTGGGTTTGTCCCAGCTACTGCTTATTGCAGAAACTGTAAGAAAGCTTGCGATGAATGGGGCTGTAATTGAATGCAGGCAATGCAGAGGGCTTGTGTGTGTTCTGCTGATGTCTTAGTGACACAGCAGGCTTGGATTTCACTGGGGAATGTCTCGGCAGTCTCTTGCACAAATGACATAGTCACTTGTTGTCTGGGAAGCAATGCAAAGCCTTGTGCCTGCCTTTAATTAAAAACACAGCTGATGGAGGGACAGTCTCAGTTCCCAGTGGTCCTGCTGGCTCCTGGGTCAGGGAGCCTGGCTGGGTCACAGTGAGACACTGCTGGGAGAGCCAAAGAGACCTCATCTGTCCCAGCACTACATCATGCTTTCCCCCTGCAGACCCCTCAGTGCCTCACCAGGGCTGGCTGTGTGGGCTCTGCTCTATGTCATGAGTTTGTGAGTGCTGTGGGGCTCATTGGGGGTGGCTTTGCCTGTGCAGCCCATGAGTTGGGCCCTGAAGGAAACAGTAAGATCAACCCAGGGAGCTGGAAAAGCCCCATTTGGACCTTGGTTATGGAGGAGAGGCTGTAGAAAATGGGGCAGCTCAGCTCCAACAGAACATGGATGAGATGCCAGCCAGTGGATCAAGGCCAATTCAGATGACTGCAATGTGAAGTTTATCTTGCCCAGATGTTTCAACATGGTTGGGTTATTCCCTTGCCTTTCCTTGGCACTGAAGCTGGCCTGGATGATGGCTAGCAGGCTTTGGAGGCTGTTCAAGCAAGGCAAGACCTTAACTGTGGGAGTGATGGGATGATTTCAGGGTGGTCATCAGAGCAGCAACTGCTGGAGTTGTCCTGAAATACACCTGGGAGAGTTGCTACCTCCATTCCCAGCTTGGTGAGCCCTCCAGGGCTGCCTGCGGCTTATTGCTCCAGCTTGGTGAGGGTATGGTATTTGGGAAGGATTCATCCTGTCCCTTGCCCTTGCATGAAGATATCAGCCAGACCCAAACTGGGATTTGGCTGGCCAGAGAGATGTTCACGGGTCATACACATGAGCACCATCATCTCAGTGGCCAGTGATGCCGGGAGGAACATGTCTCACCCGCTCTCGCTATTTCACTTTTCCCTTTATTTTATTTTCTGAGTCATTTGCACTCGAGCACACTGATGAAAGCAGGTTTTCTGCTTCTCAGCCCCGCGGAATCCATCCAGCCAGCCAAGCCCAAGCCGTGCTTCGCGCTTTGGCTGCGCGCGGCAGTCGGGGTTGCTAGCACAGAGTGTGCTGGTTGCTGATAGCGAGCGAAAAGGCAGCCTCGGGGGGTCCCTCCACCCCCAGTTCTGTAATCCAGCCTTTAAAACTCTTCTCTTTGTGTTTTGGGGATTTTTTTAATGTGGGTGGGGGCTGCCAGGGAGCGATGGAGGAGCTCGCAGGATGTCTCTTTTGTTTTTAAAAACCTTTTGCTTCCTTTTTTGCAACTGAATTTTTGAAAGGCTCCTAGCTGGGGGCGGAGGAGGGGAGGGCAGAGCACACAAAAACTTTGTGAGTGGGTTGGCATTGTGACTGAAAGCCCCCCAGGAGCTGGGCTGTGGGGCTGCTTCACCACCCGCCCCACGCCGGGGTCTCTGCTGTGGTCCTCTCCCCAATTCAACACCATGATGCTCTCATGCAAGCTTTGCTCCGAAGGGATACCTTGGGTGTGAGAAGAGGAATGTCTTGTGCTCAATTAAGCAATTAAGTGCTTCCCAGCTCTGAGCTTCATTATCAGCCTTGGCTTGCTTCTGAGAAGCAACCCAGAATGACCGGTGACCAGAGGGGACCTGCTTAGTCAACTGCACAAGACAAGCATCCTTAATTGCTTTGGTGCAATGATTATTTTCATTACAACCGTGTTCTTTCTGCGAGAAGCCGGGAACTTCCATCATTGAGGCTTTTATCTCTGAAAACAATTCCCGAACTGTTGAACTATCAGCACTGCGTGCGCTGCCCCAGCAGTTTATGACTGTTATCTGTGTGACATGGGACGTGACAACCTTCACTGCCCTCCAGACTCGCATCCAGTGTCGCTCTCTCCTGCCTTACCACGTTGTTGATATCTTCCCCTGCACCAGCTCTACGATTAGCTGCTGGCACTGCCTCCGAGCCCTCCTGTGCTCCCTTGTGCCCACCCTGCCAAGCTCCCCATCTCAGGGCAGGTGTGTGCAGGTGGTTTTATATACATGGAGCTTATGAACTTCTCACCTTAAAGGTCTCGAGGTGTTTGCCTGAGCTGTAAGGGCAACACCCATGCACACCCTGAATGGGGTGGTTTGCAGATGTGAGGGTCTTGGGGTGCACAGGACTGTGATGCCTCCAGTGGGAGCAAGCCCAGCAGAGGCTGAGCAAGGGCAGTGCCTTTGGCAACGTGCTCGGTGGGTACCGTGCTGCTGGCTGACCTGAAGTCCTTTGTTGATGCCACCCACTGGGCATTGCCTCCTGCATGGACAGGCTTGGAAGCTGATGCTTTCAAGAAAATAAACCCACCCTGGGAGGGGATTTTGCACAGGGAAGGGGTTGTTTGTCATTTCCTGGTGGTGCCTCTCGCCTTTATGCTCAATGCTGTTTAATTTTGAGAGCTAGTACCGTGAAGGAGCATGGTGTAAACAGCATCGATCTGGGAACCACGTGGCCTTTTGTGCAGAAGTGACCAAGTTCAATGATGGGAATCGAGCGTGGCCTGAGGGAGACAATGTCCCCTCGGAGCAACACTGCCAGCAATCTCTGATGGCTGTCTGGGAAAAGCCCCAGGCAGCCAACAGCACCTTGTGTCCCCACTGGTGCAGCTGCCAGGCATCCAGGTGAGAAAACCAGGCAGCTGAGATGTGGGGAGAAGCTGCCACAGCCCCTAGGTGACCTAAATAACACTCACACCGGTGCTGGCAGAAAAGCAAAGTCATTACTGGCAAAAGAAGCTGTGAAGATAATGACCGGGCTAACAACTGCCGGTGGTATCGGCAGGAGGATTTTAGTGTTGTTGGGGTTGTTTTTTTTCCTAAACAAACAAGATCTTTTGTTGCAGCGTGTGCTGCTGGGCACCACTGGATGGTTTTACCCCTGTTGTCTCCTTTTGCTGAGAGGAACAAAACCTGAGGCATGGGGCACGGACCGACGTCCTGCGTGGCGAGCACGGCACCTCACAGCGGCGGCTGCTGCTTCTGAATCCCTGGCTGCTGTCAGGCCCCTGGCCCAATTCTGCCCCAATTGCATTTGCCAGCCCCAGTTTTCAAGCTGATATTTGGGATCAGGCAAAGGGAGCGCTGCTGGGCTGTTCCCAGCAGTGACCCAATTTGCTGGACGAGGTCTTTGCTCCCCTTTGTAGGAAAGAGGTTATGAAATACGTTCACTGAGGGCCACCAAGAGAGGCCCAGAGACCTAAAAAGCTCAGCTGCTCTCTTAGTACAGTATTTCCAGGTTTGCTTTGTGCTCCATGTGGCTTTTGGGGTTGTATTTTGGGCTGTGGGTTTGATAAGTTTTCTGGTGTTGCAATCACTGTTCTCCTGTTGAATAAATCAGCTCCTGCTTGTGCAAGCCTGGCCCCGAGTCCCCTCTGCGTCCCAGCAAGAGGGACCTGTAGCCAATTTCCCTGGCTCCCACTTTCTTCCTGTGAGCCCACCTGCGTGACATCTCCGTCCCCATGCTTCAGGATAATTTTGAGTGGGTTTGGGGGTTTTTTTATTTTATTTTATGTGGTAAACTAAAAGAGGGGAGATTCAGACTAGATGTAAGAAAGACATTTTTGATGACAAGGGTGGTGAAACCCTGGCCCAGGTTGCCAAGAGAGGTGCTGGAAGCCCCATCCCTGAAAACATTCAAGGTCAGGTTGGACAGGAGCTCTGAGCAACCTGGTCTGGTTGAAGATGTCCCTGCTCACTGTGGGGGGATTGGACTACATGACCTTGAAAGGTCCCTTCCAAACCATTCTATGATTCTCACAAAGCAGTGGCACACATGGAGCAACAAGCTGAGTGTCCGATCAAGCACGTCTCATTTGGGAAGGATGAGCAGAACAACACCCGCTGCCTTGGCTTCCCCGTGCAAACCCCGTGGCACGCTGTGGCAGTTGTGCAGCCCAACCTCAGCCACCCTGACTGCTTCCACTCTGCCAGGAATTGTCCAAATCTGCCAATTTGGCCAGAGTGGGGCTGATGGATTTGGGTTTTTCTCTGCTGGCATGGAGAATGGGTGTCTCTGGTATCGTGCTTCATGCAGGCAAGCGTGGGGAGATGTCAGGGGAAGCCCCATTTTCCATTTGCCAAAGCTGGGGGCACCTTCCAGACCCTCCCTGATGGCAGATGTCCTCATGATTGCAGCTGGTTATGTGATTAAAGTAGGTCACAGCCCACCCACCCTTCCCCTGCGCTGGTAAGAGGGATGATTCTCACAATGGCAATTGCTCCACTCGGCACATAAAGCTTTTCCAGGTACAGGGACAAAGAGTGGCTTTAATTGGTGTCCTCTTGGGTGCCGAGCTGGTCCGCTGCCTTGTCATGCAGCCAGAAGTAAATGCTGTAACAAATGTGACTCAGAGGCACATGGTGACAGGGACTGGTTTCATGACAAATTGGCTTCATGACTCGCTCACCTAGCAAGGGAGATGGCCAACACCTTGTGTCCCCCCCACCAAGGAGGGTGTAACATAGTGTGGCGAGGGTCCCCCACCACTGAGGAGTGGTCACAGATGCCAGAATAATTGATAACTCCGTGGTGCTTGTCATGGCCCGGCATCATAAATGCTTAAAAGGTTTATTTACCAATTCCGAAAACTCCTGTGTGCATCATGTTTAATGCAAATAGAGAGTGTGTTTAGGAAGATATAAAACATTACTAGAGGGAAAGGCAGCCCATTATCTCCCTGCAAACACCTCCCTCTCTAGCTGTAAGCCAAACAGCAGGGGACTGAGCAAGACATGCTGATGAGGATAACTAATGCAGGCCTATCCGACCATGAAAAGGAAGGATGGGATCATCGGGAGCAGGGGAGACAGCTCTGCCAAAACAAACCACGTCACATGCTGGTTGCAAAACCTTGGAGGCTGATTCACAGTCAACCCATTCATGCTCTTGAAGCCACCTTTGGTCTTCTGCTCTGAGGCCAAGTCAGGTCACTAGCATGGGATAGGGGAGCCTTAAGGATGTAAGACAGTATGAATCCAGTTCATCTGGAGTGAGAAGCAGCCTCTGAGCACTGTGCTCTAGTTGTTTCTCTCTCTCCTCTCCCATCTCTTTACTGGGAACTGGGATCCAGGTGGGTGCCAGCTCAGTGCTGCTCTCCCAAACATGCCTCCCCAGGGATCAGAGGCAGAGTTTTCAGATTGCTGTGAGATCCCTTTTTGTGCTGGTTCCCTGTGGAGAGGTCTTGGCCAGACACAGAGTCAAACCCCCAGTGCTGTGAAAAGGCATTAACATCTTCAACTGTGAGAGCAAAGAGCTCCAGAGCATCCCCAGGGATGTCCCGTTGGGCTTTGAGAGCTTTGAGATCCACAGGAGGATCACTTTCCACCCAAACCCAGTGCCAAGGCAGTGTTGGTAGCAGGGATGTGGGTTTGGGCTTCCTCATAGAGGACACTTTTGTCATTTAAAAATAAATACCAGGGAAATAATGCAAAGGGCTGTGCAGCTCCTGCTGCTTCACATTGCAGCCAGATTTGTGTGTTCCCATCAGTCATGATTTTAATGATTCTGTGATTCTAAGCTAAACCAACATCAGCCTGGTGAGAGTAGGGAGGTGTGCTGGGTGCTGGAGGAGGATCAGCCCTGGGGATGTGTGCTGTTATATCACCTGGGTCCATGCTGTTGTTCCTCTGCCTGTGCTCTCCTCCCTGGAAAAGGGAATATCCCTGTGATTTCCAGCATGGAGGGCAAAGTATAAATCACCACGATGCTGTGTTCTTGCTCGCTCCCAAACATATTACATTTATTCTGTGTTTTGTTTCCTTGCTCCAGTCCAAAGGGAAGATTAAATGGCTTGCTCCAGTGTCCTAAAAAAATCCCTTACAGTAGAAAACCTAGTAGGAACAAGCTCCAAGGAAAACAAAAAATACCATCTAGATCCCTAAACCATGAGGTTTAAATATCATCCCGGACTTTGCTTGGTGTGTGTAATTTGCTGTCTGGTCTTTGAGCCTTTAAAAGGTGCATTTCCAGCTGCTTGTCCATCAGCTGGGCAGGCAGGATTGTCTATCTCAGCTTTCAGTTGAGCAACAGAGAAAATCCAGGGATTTGCAGGCCTTGGGGAAGCTGGACATTAGGGGGAAAAAACCCATCCCAAACCCTGCAGGTAACATCATGGAACCACTTTCCAGCCGAGGAGCCCATGAGCACAGGCAAGAGCAGCTCTCCTGGCCCAGCCCTGGCAGGCAGTGGTGGCCAGAGATGTGGAAGAGCTGTTATTCCACTTGAATTTCAGCCTCCAGGGTGCTCATTTGAAAAAAAAAAAGGCTCAAAGTTTCCTACCTCATGTGTCAGCAACGTGGAGAGAAACACTGTGTACAGCTCGGTGGGTCTGTTATCTCCTCTCACTGTTATTAATGGGCATTTTTTTAATCACAACGTTGTCTCCTTTGTAATCCTGTGTTTGTAATGAAGCTATGTGAGATGCTGAGCCTGCCAAACCCTGCTCCAGACAAAGGGCAGGGGGATGGAGGGAAGGGGGGGGGGGTCACAATTATTCCACTTACTAATGAGTGTTTGGAAGGTCAGACCTGAAATGCCTGAACAAGCCTGGAGCCAAGAGGTTGTGTTCGCACTTGAAAACGCGTCTCTCTAGTATTTTCCTTTCGCCGTTCCAATCCTCCCCCTGACTGTCAGCCTTCAGCCCTGAATCACTCCTGGGCACGTGGCTCACACATGAACACTGCAAAATATTTTGATGGAGAGAAACGGGGGTGGGAGCATGAGATAACCCAGTTGATTGTTCCCAACCCTTCAACTCTTGTGCTGAGGCATCGCAGCCTCCAGCGTTTGCAAAGGCGTATTTCCCAGAGCTCCCGGTCACGATGAAACCAAGGCAAAACTTGTGATACTGCAGGTCAGCGGGGATGGTGTTTCCAGGAGTGAGCAAGGGTTGCAAGTAGAAATAGCTGCTGCATGTCAAGCCCTGGCTGCTCACAAGGCTTTGGCTCCTTGCTTCTCCTGTTGGGAGGTTGAGGAAGTCCAGGTGGAAGAAGGGAGCCAGTGAAGGGTCCTCCTCAGCAACATCCTCTCCCAAAGCTCCACATCTACCAGGGAGAGGTGGGTGATGTTAGTAATGGGTCACTGCTTTTAACAGTCCTTCTTGTCTCTCCAACAGCTTCACAGAAGCCATGAAGAACCAGCTGAAGCTGGAGGGCTTGGACTGCTACTGGGCCTATTACTCAGGCTTGGCCATCTTGGCTGTAGGGACCTTGTTTGTCATTTCCAGCTTCTTAGCACTGGGATTCATCGGGACGTTCCTAGGTAAGCACTAAATATTCAATAGCTTAACCAGAAAGTGCTTTTATTCCTTGGAGGGGTCTTTTGCTAGGGCAGAGTCTGGAAGGACTCCCTCCTCCTTGCCTTCAGGGCTGTTAGGTTTGGTCTTGGCTTTACAGTACCAAAGTGTGATCTAACCACGCCGTTACCTTGCATGGAGAACACGGTGCAGTGCTTTTATACAGTGAGTCCCATCACCTGCAGCATCAAGCCTGAAATTTTAGAAAGCAGCAAATCATCTGACAGTCCAAATGCCCTCCAGAAAAGGGACCCCAAGTGCAGACCCCACAAGCAGATTGGCACTGGCACAGCGGGTATGAGCTGTCCGTCAGCCTTGCTCTGAGCCCCCGGCCGCCCGACACGCGCGCCGAGGCAAGATCTCGTTTGCTTTTCCCTCTGCAATAAACCTGACATTCGTTGACAGATTCTTTTATCTGCCACTTTATGGCAGAAGGCATTTTCTACTGTGCCTGCTTTCACATTTAGAGAGTAATTCTATTAGCATTGTTGACTTTAAAAACATGCCAGTATGTGTGGAATTCATAAAAATAAAACAGAGACAGGAACAATAAATATCTAAGGAAAGGGGCAGCTCCCGCTGGCTGAAATAATCACAGCCCCAGCTTTGACACTGCATTTGGGCTGTGCTTTTGCAAGTGCTTTACAAACCAAATTCAATTAGCTCCTGCAGCGTCGCCAGGAAGAGAGGGAGGTAATAAGCCTTCCTGTTTTCAAGTGGAGTTGCAAAGAAATGTGTTGAGTTGGCCAAGATCCTGCTGCCAGAAATAGACCTCAGCACTCCTGAATGTGTCCCCTCACCCTTCATCTGTGCAGCCCCACTCCTGGCCCCATGTTACACCTCTGTCCCCAAGCTCTCGGGCACCAGCATCCTCCAAAATCACCTGCAGCCACTGGGAGTGTGATGCTGTGTCTGCAGAGACACGTCCAGAGATGCTGGGCACAAGATTACCCGCCAGCAAGAGCTGCTTGAACGCTCCTGAAGTTCAGCCAGGTCTGGGGTTGTTTACGTAAAGCCTGATTCATCCGACCAGGAGGATCCACTGGACTTGAACCACTGGGGAAAAGCAAACAAGTGAGTCAGGCTCAGCGTAAGCGGTGTGAGTGGCCCTGTCCCCCACTGCTCTGCATGGCTGGTGGCTCCCGTACCCCCTGGGGCAGGGAAGAGGCAGGTGTTAGTGGCCCGTATCGGACATTTCTGCTCCATCTCTCTGCTGGTGGAGACTCTCCCTGTGACCAGTGCCCCGGGCTGAGGCTGCACAGCTTCAAGCCTTGCAGAAAGTGAGACCAGCTCTCTCCGCTAGCCGGGGCATGATGGGCACCAGGGCAGAGCTGAGTCAGGATGGGAGATGCCAAGACCATGTGCTGGTGCAGCTGGGCTGGCTCGGGACCTCTGTGCCACAGAGGTGTGGCCCAGCTGGAGCCCTGCAGACCGTCCATCCTTGGACTGATAGCAGCTTCTCAGCTCTATGCAAGCACCGATAAGTCCAAGTCAGCAAACTTCTCATGGAGAATACTGTTTTCTTACCCAGCTGTGGGGAAGACAAGAGGTCTGCAGATCTCCGCAGGTCTCACATGGGATGTTCTGTTGCTCGGGACTCACTTGGGACTGGTAATTCCAACATCCTCCTTCATGGAGGGTTTTAGTCTTGAGCTGGTGCTGCGGGAGGAGCAAGGTCCTTCTGACTGCAGGTGGCAAAGGGCAAGAAGATGGCATCCAGCTGCCTCTCACAGTTGATATCTGAGCTCCAGAGAAGTTTTGAGAGAGCCTCTGACACCCAAGCACTTAAAAACCTTACTGGAACAGCATTTGACCCTTCCCTTTTGGGTTTTCCTACAGCAGTGAGGGCTGAACCAGGCAGGGCACGGAGACCACATCGGGGCTGCCCATTAGATTCCTCTTCAACAGCACATTTAAGCTTTGGAGCAGCTGCAGAGCACTTTGTCTCTTAAGTGTAGGATAAACCATGCAGCGAGAGCTGTGTGAGTCACTCTTCTGCTACAAGCCGTTCTGTGCCACCCCAGCTCCAACCCCAGCATCTATTTGCAGCAGCTGGCTGCAGCCCCTCGCCCTGGCAGCTGTCTCCCCTGCAGAGCAATCCTTCCTCCTGCTGCCCTGTCTCTCCCCTGTGCCCTCACAGGAATTCGGGCATCAGTTCAGCGCTGTCCGCCTCGCCGATTGCCCTATTTCCTGATGAACGTAATAACGAGGGCTCAGCTCCCCGGAGGCCAAGGGCATTGAGAGGTGGCTCTGCCTGTCTGAGCCCATCTGTCTCACACCCAAGTGCGGTTCCTTCCAGCGCTGACCAAGATTTCAAGTAAATCTGACTTGACTGAAGTCTGTTACTGGGCTATGGTGAAGCTGGTGGCTCTGCAGAGAGGAGCAGAGGTGGTGCTTCAGCCCAGGTTGGTCTCCAAGAACCATGGAGGACCTTCCAGCATGCATCAAATGGCTTTTTGCTGCTACAATCCAAAGTGTCTACCCTGTGCAGTGAGGTGGTTACACTGACCTCCAGCAAAAAATAACCCAAATTAGATGCCAAAGTCCCTCAGTCTGACAAGGAGCTGATTCCTGATTTGGGAGCTTAATGGAAGCACAGGAGATGCCCAGGCTGATGCTGTGCAAGCTGATGCATGGTCCTTTCCCTTAGCACCTGCCTGAATATAAAAATATTGCAGGTCCTCTCTGGTGGTCATATTCATTTAACTGTGTGGGTTTAGAGGCAGGATTTACATCGGAAAAGCTCATGTCCTGTGGGAGCTGCTGCTCCCTCCAGCTGCTGGGTGCTCTTGCTTGCGGGGAGCCTGTCCAGAAGGTCCCACAGCCCCACCAGTGCTGGGCTCAGATAAGCCCCTGCCAGCCCCACCAACCCAGGGTTTTGTGTGAACCTCCCCAGTGCCAGTGACATATGGGGAACAAGGTGTTCAACCCAAAGGCGAGGGCGGGCAGGGTGTAATGAAGCATTTTGACACATAAGAAAGCGCAGAAATGGGCCGTGGCGGGGGGTGATGTGTTCTTTCTGCCAGAACAATCTCCGAGATGCATTGCCAAGTAACTGTGAGAACATATAGTATGAGTACCAGGCAATTATCTCACTTAGTGGCCTGTAGTTAAAGCCCAAAAGCATTGTCTAATTGGGCAGGCGCTGTTTATCCTTAGAAATAAATGTTTTTGCACCATGTGAGGTCAAAGAAATTACTCTACGATCCAGGTAATAATAATAACCTTGAATAGTTTGCACTCCTGTAATGCTTTTTATCTGGATTTCCAAGTACTTTCTCACCATACATTAATCCTCACCACCCTCCGCGCTATAAGAAAGACTGATATAATGAACAGTGCACAATAGCACCGGGAGGGATGGAGAAAACTTGCCCAAGGTCAGGGAACAGGCTGGCAGCACAGCTGGGAATGTGACCCAGGGCTGTGGCAGCTCCCTGAGCGGACGGACCAGCGCTGCTCCTCGCTGATTGATGCTGTGTCATGTACAGTGGACAAGGAGCAAAATCCTTGCTGGGTTTTGTGATCTTGCAAGTGAGACCATCAAAAATCAGAGCTCATCATCCCAACACTTTCTCCCACCTGAAACACCACTCACAAGCTGCACAACATCTTGCTTGTCATTTCTTCTCCAGGCTCCTTTCAGGAGGATGGAAGGATTACTCCGAGATAGATAGGAAGCTGGTTGGATGCTGACAGTTCTGAAAGCTTCCCTCATTTAAGATGACAATCAACTATTATCATCATCATCATCATGCCGATAATTGAGTGTTTTGTAGGCAGAGGTGCTATTTTCTGTAATTCTGAGAAATTCTCTGAACTATGAGATAAGGGTGACACTAAATGAGGGCATTTGGTGGTGGCAGTCGTGATTATAACATCTCGAAACACCATTACAGTGCACTGGGCTTATTTCCCCATTAAATGGATTTGATCCTATGCACTTGTTTCCTCGTTGAGTGGCATCAGACGGGCAGTTTTCAAATGAGAAAGCCAGAATCAGCCAGTTGGGACCTGGAGAGCTGCTTCCTGATGAGGGATGTGGCTGCCATAACCTCACTGCAATGCACAAACCTTCCTCGTGGGCAAAGAGCCGTTCCTGGAAAAGCTGATAGACGCGGAGTAAACAGCCGACCTATTTGTTGCTGTTTTCTCAGCCTGGAAATCAGCAGTGAAACCCCTCGTTTGTTTTCGCTCTGCAACCCCAGCAGGGATGCCCTGTGGCACAGGGAGGGTATCAGTGTGCCAAAGCCCCCTGCGACTCAGCACAGGAAGGACATGGATTTGCTGGAGCAGGTCCAGGGGAGGTCACAAAGATGATCCGAGGGCTGGAGCAGCTCTGCTGTGAGGACAGGCTGAGAGAGTTGGGGTGGTTCAACCTGGAGAACAGAAGGCTCTGGGGAGCCCTTATTGTGGCCTTTCGATACTTGAAGGGTCCTGTAAGAAAGATGGGGACAGACTTTTAGCAGGACCTGTAGCAATAGGACAAGGGGTGATAGTTTTAAATTAAAAGAGTTTAGATTGAGACCAGATGTAAGGAAGAAATATTTTACAATGAATGTGGTGAGACACTGGCCCAGGTTGCCCAGATTGGTGGTAGAAGCCCCATCCCTGGAAACATTCAAGCTCAGGTTGGATGGGGCTCTGAGCAACCTGATCTGGTTGAAGATGTCCCTGCTCACTGCAGGGGGTTGGACTAGATGGCCTTGAAAGGTCCCTTCAACCCAAACCATTCCATGTTTCTGTGACTCCCAGTTTCATGGAGCCTAACCACAACCCCTCTGTTTGCCCTGCAGGTGATTACTTTGGCATCCTGATGGAGGCAAAAGTGACCAGCTTCCCCTTCAGCATCCTGGATAATCCCATGTACTGGGGCAGCACAGCCATCTACCTGGGCTGGTCCCTCATGTGAGTACGTGCCCCTGCAGACAGCACCAGTTGTAGGGCAAGTGTTGGTCTGTGCTCGGTGGGGCTTAAGGTGCTCTGGTGCATCAGGGGCCAAAGAAACTCCTGATGATGGCAGTCAGCAAAAAAAATGACGTGGAAAGTGCAACATGCCCTAGTTTCTCACTTCCTGACTATTTTTGTACGTGCAAAATCTTCTGCTGTCATAAAAGACTTGCAGCATTAATTGTATATAAATAAATAACGGCCAAGTGCTGAGGAGAGGAAACATCCGCAAATGCTTTGCAGCTGAATGAGGTCCTTGGCAGGCTCTGCACGTGGAAAAATCAACAGTCAGGGCCAAATTCATGCTGGGTGTCACTCGGCAGGAGCAGGGCACTGATACTGGGGATCAGTGTGACCCTGTAGTTACCTCTGACAAAAAAAAAAGCCAACACACCCTTCACCCCACTGCACGGTGATAACACTTGGGAAACACTCCTCATGTGATACAACACAGCTTAATAGCCTGCTTAGGAGGAAATGAATAGGCAGTAATTTAGCAGCAAATGAGCAATATACTCTATTCTGCGTAGCAAGTTTTATGTGGTTTTCATTTAATATCACATTTTATTTATTTGCCCAGGAGAAAAAAAACCCTGGCTGTGTTACATCAGGAGCCCGCAGAACATTGCGAGCCTTTATCACTAGGTATTTTGCACTGGTGCTCCTGAGTGTGACCATCTCTTTTCTACTTCGGTGGAAAAAATAAAGTGTTTTGCCACTTTTTGGTCTCCTTTTCAACCAAGTGTGCAGCACTTTCTGGCCCCTGGTAATGAGTAAAGCTGATGGTTTCTCTCTCATCTCCACTGAGCCTTGCTGCTGTTTGTTCTGCACTAGAAATCCCTCTCTGCTGCTGTCAGGACTGGTTGCACAAGGCCATTTGCCTTCCTGCCAGACCCATGGCACTGAATTGGGTCCAAACCCTGGGAAATGGTGCATGAGAGCTGGGATGAGCTCTCACACTGCTGGTGCCACAGCAGAGCCGGGCAGGAAGGCTGGCCATGGGGTTGGCAGCACGATGGCAGCGTGGATATTGCTTGGGGGAGTGGGACAGAGATGGGGCAGGATGAGTCCCCCAGTACTGCACCACAGCCAAAGACGACCCCCACAACAGCACAGAAGGAGAAATTTGACCATGAGGAATTACAAGATTTTAATTTAAGATCAACATCAGACTATTTCATAGAACCTTTGCAGAACCAGCTGAACCCTCCTGACCTGTTTCTGTCACTGAGATCCCTTCTTCACCCCTGTGAGAGAGAAACCTCGCACTGGGTTCATGTTGCTTAACCTGCTACTTTAATCCTGGGCAAAAAGCAACTCCAAGTGGCTCCAGACAACAGTGTGATTGCCTCCTATTTCTCATTAAAAGGCTGCCACCATAAAGGGCAGTGAGGCATCACAAATAATTGCTGTTAACAAATTGCTGGAGCTCTGCAAAGTGGCCCAGGACACCATCCACGTGCCCTGGGGTAGCTCGGCACAACCCTTCATGCCATGGTTTTGTCTGTTTCTTTTCCTCAGGATCTCAGCTCAGGTTGCTGAGGGTCTTCTGGGGGTGTCCTAGGTGTCTTCTGAGGATCACAGGGCTTTCAGAAGATGTTAGGTGTCTGCCCTTGGAGGCCAGAACTAATGTCCCAGCTCCATGGCAGTGGGAAGGATGCCGGAGGAATGCGTTTGCCATCTGGTTCTGGTCAGACCTAAAACGTAGAGTATATTTGTCCTCCCTGGGTGGTATATCACACTCTGTATCGTGACATCAGAGCCCAAAGGATTGGTTCATTTTTGTCTGTAAGGGCACATACCACATAACGTAAGCAAGCCTGGCAGCACACCAGACAGCTTGCCTTCCCACTCCAGTCCAACCTGAAAGCATCGCGTGGGGCAGGAGCTGCTGTTTTCTTCCTTGCAGGATATGGCAGCTATTCCTGGCTCGACAAAAGGCAGCTCTGCAGCCAAAAATGTGTCTACAAAATACACTGGAGAAGGTACCTCCACCCATCACAATGAAAACAGGAGCTCAAGGAGGAAAGGACAGAGTGGGTGTTCCACAGCCAACAGCCAGGACCAGCAAGTCTGATGGGGAAGGATGCGAGTCCCCACCATTGCTCTTTCAGACAACCCACAGCCATGGAGAGCTGCAGGAAGGGTTGAGGATGGACAGATTTCCTGCCAAAAAAAAATGTTCTACCAAGACCATGTAACCTTCCTGGCTGACTCATTGTCAGTGCTGCTACAACACAAACCGTTGCCCAATAACTAGGTCGAGCTCATAAGAGCAGAGAAACAACTCACCCGAATGCTTTTCATCCCCTGCATCCAGCAACCTTGTTTCTCCCAGAAGACAAATGGAGCGTTAGCTGTTTGGGGACAGCTTTGTGTATCTCTTGTAGGAAAGTGTTTTAACTCATGGCAACAGGCTGTGTAAATCAGAGCTGGAGCTGCAGCCAAATGATGCAATTAGAGGTCTTGCTGTCAACAAACAATCATGCAAATTTGTTCTCTCTGATAGGAATCAAGGAGGAGACATGACTAAGCATGTAATAGCAGGAGGTTGGGGGAGGAAGAAGTTGCCTGATGGTTCCTAATGAAGGAAAAACTTATTGCAAAATAGAAACAGTGAAAAGATGAAGATTTGTGTGCGTCTCTCCAGGAACTGATCAGGCCGAGCGGTTCCTGCAGGCAGGTCCAGTACCAGGTTGAGGTAGTTCAGTCTCTCCTCTGCAGGCACGTTCTCCCACCAGCACTAGTCACCTTGCACAAGGCTTGTGGGATGTTTATTCTCCCCAAGGACCAGCTAAGTACTTTTTTTTTGCTGACAGCCAGTTCTTGTCCCCCTCAGAGCTGAGCTTCGACCAGCAATTAAAGGCAATCAGCAGTGTGCTAATTAAAGGCAACACTTGCAGTGATTAGCTGGAGGAGCAAGATGCAGAAAGGGTGTTTTGAGGGGGCTGATGCCTGTGATGAGGCAGATACAGTCATGGTCCCTGCTGGGAGATGGGGCTGGGACCTCATGGGTGCTGGGTTGGCAAGTGGGGAATGGCTGCTGGCGTGGCCACCCTCACCCAGGGGAATTTACACACCATGGGGTGGTATCAGCGCCTGGTTGGGGGACTGTAACCCACCAGCTGAAGTCCTGGTGCCTTAGCAAAGCCCCCACTGCCTTCACCAGCATCTGCCTCAGACACTTGTGGACCAAGCATCAAAGAAGTGACCTCATGTGGGTGGTGCAGGTTCATCGAATCACAGAATTGCCTGGATTGGAAAAGACCTTTAAGATCGAGTCCAGTCATGAACCCAACACTGACAAGTCCCCGACTAACCCATGTCCCTCAGCACTGTGTCTACACGACTCTTCAATCCCTCCAGGGATGGGGACTCCACCACTGCCCTGGGATTCTCTGACATCTCCCTTTAGAGCGGGAGGTGATGGGGATTTTTTTGACCTTATTCTTTGGCCTCAGTGCTAAAAGGAACAGCCATCCCCATTGCATCCACAACCCTCAAGCATTTCTACCCATAACCAGACCATGTGGTGGGTGGCATTGGTCCCCATCCTGTGCCTGATGACCCCTTGCTGAAGGACACCATTCAACTGGGCTTTGGGAAAGTGAAAGGACATGTTCCTAAATCATCTTAAAATGGGTTTAAATGCGAACTGAGCCCCCACGCACCCAGCCCTGCTACAGCACCCACCCAGCACCCTTTGCAGGGCAGCCATGGTCCTTTCCATCCCTTTCCATCCCCAGCCCTGCAATGGCTCAGCCGTTGGTTCGATGTATAGGTACCACACGCTGCTCTGGCTGCCAGGTGTCTCCTGCGCCCTGGGTGGCCTGTCTTCCCGTGCACATCAGGCATTTCCCTTACAGGGCTGGCTGGGAGCCGCAGCCGTATGTAAGCAGCTGCTCAGCTATTAAAACAGCCTTATAATCTCAGGATTTAGCATCAAAGCAGAAGCTCTCTTAGCAGAGACGTGCAGGGATCAGACTTAAAAAGAAGTCACCGAAGTAGGCTGGGGATGAGTCTTTGCCAAGTAACATCTGTCTAAGACAGTTAACATTAAGTACAAAAAAAAAAAGAAAGAAAGAAAAAAAAAAA